GCTTTCCAAACCCTATCGATAGATCTAGGTCTCTATTCAAAGATCCATGGGAGGTTGAAACCCTTCCCTGGGGAGACACAGTGTCGATTGAATTTGCTTCGATGTGCACCGTTAACCGAACAACTCTGGAAATTTGCTTCTTTCATTGAATGAGTGTAGCACTTGGATACTACTGCTTTCAGTGAAGTAGGTCTTTATGCAAGTGAAAAGAGAAAATGTTTGGGTTTTACCGAGGTTGAGTCATAATTCCAAATTTTACTTTATGAAGTGATTGGCTTATTTCTAGATTGTGTCTGTCACACACTTATGCAAAGTGATTCATGCTTAATATTCTCCATCCGAGAACTGGTACAGCACCTCGTACTGATCCCAGGTTTGTCCCGACCTCAGCGACTCCTATACCGATTACCGAGAGAGTTTCTTCGCACCTGACATGACAGCTGGCTGCAAATGCCTTCATGAATGATGCCAAAGTTCACTGTTAGTCTTGAAATTGTGGCCAACTCGAGTATAAACTCAGTGTATGTGCAAATTAATTTCTCATTAGACTGTGTTCGGTGCTGCGAAAAGAATCAGCACCTAAATCTTTATTACACTTGTTTCACAATGGGACATGGGCGACCACTTTCCGGTGGATTCCCTCGAATCCGTGAGTGGGTAAGCCATCGTCGTTACCAATGACTAACGCCTGAAAAAGGGTCCATAAAGGCAAAAATGAAAGAAGCTAAAGTTCGAATAGTGTATGTTCATCAAACCCGTCCAACATTACGCCACGCATCTGTACTTCAGGGACGATCGTGGCAGTCGTTCTGGTGTAATTGGTGGACAGAATGATAAGCATTTGTAAAAGATGCATCAATAGGAGCAAATTTCATTATGTAGGCCTTCCGGTCTCCTTTTTCAGCACTTGACTCAAGGTAAACTGCTCTAGCTTGTACAAGACTGAGGATCGAATTCGGGTCGACACTAGCTCAGGCTAATAAGCCCTCCATCCCTTCGAGGTCGGTTATTTAATACCAGACTCTTATGCAAGGAAAAACGTACGACTTGTATATTGGCTGGCCATCGCAAGTAATTGCATGAACCAACCTTTCCTCCTCCTCTTTTTATGATTGTAATGACTTCTGTGACGATTGGTGCAATTTGGCTTCGATTCAGTTTAGTTTTCTTTTACAAATATGCTAGAGCAGTAGTAATTTGCATAGTGGGCCTGAGATGTAAGTGAATTAATGGGAAATCGGAAGAATATTGAAGGTGTTTTAGTAAGAGGCTGATACCCATTTGCGTAAAAGCTCCTTTTTATACTGTATGAATTTTGCATAATGGCTTTTTGCATAGCTTTCCATTGTCGAACGTTAACGCAAACAAAATTTGCAATTCCACTCAATTTGCTCAATTCTCACGTGGTTCACCCCAAAAAAAAAACAAAAGATAACAATCAACGATAAATCCGATCAAAAATTTGCAGTTTTCTGAGCTATTTTCCATTTCCTGGGCAGAGGTTATGTAGACGAAGTGGCGTACCATTATACCCTCGTGGTTCGAAGACGGACTCCCTGATCAATACTCATTCAGTCCAATCATACCCTGAATCCCCACGGGGTCGGTTAGTTGGTACCAGAACCGTATGAGAGGGTAGATCCCTGCACATCGCTGGGCCACTGCAGCTCATTATACAGGCCAAATACGCATCCAAAACGCCACTGCGGTTCTGGATGGAAGTTGAATGCTAGACCCATCCCTCAGACAGAATTTTTTACTCCATAATCCTTTATCCTTCATTAATAAAGTCGGTCCACCCGGATAACGCCAGGCTTTCCTTCTTCTTATGATAAGGTTGTAATAATCGCCAAATCCACCCCTCCTCATTTGGAACAATGATATTTTTCGGAACAGAAATTCGACAGAGGATTAATAGGATAAGCAAGTAGTATTGAGAATGAGCCTATGCTTATGCCTACGATTAGAAGTCTCATTCTGTTGCTGTTCATCTTAAAAATAGTGACCCATTGAAGGTTCGACTGGTAGGCAAAAGAAGCCCTGCGTGGTACTTACAAATGTTCTCGTGCCATACCATTATCAGATGTATTTATCAATAAAGCTTTTTTTCCACGGATATATCATTAAATGAGAATCCAATATTATCATAGAACGGATAATTTTCGTAAAAAATGATATTGAAGCGAAGCGAAACAGTCGTAAATAAGAAAGGCATTGGATTAAATTGGTGAGTGGATCTCGCCTTCTAAGGCCTCCTCCATCGTCAGTATTTCCATCCTGCCTCCTCTACTCCCTTGGGGAACCCTGCCCCCTGCGAGCGGAGTCTGGTCTGTCACCCAACATAAGTGTCCCCATCTTGCCGACTTTACCTCTTCCAAATTTGAGCGCTCTAGGTCCACGGGGACAGGAGTTATGATTTTCCGCTCAACCCCCGCACATTGTGAATGGGATCCGGTTCTGCCAATTACCATAAGTGTTCCTATCCTTCCACACTTCCAAAACCACTGGAAGCCCTTTAAAGGTGATGTGTACCGTTAAAAGTCTCGCAAGTAAACCAGCTCTGCAAGTGTAGAGGTATTGGCACTGAGGTGACGTTATGGACGCTTTGGTTAATATGGGTGCTGGAGTTGTCCTCGAATATCTCGTTGAACAACCACAGAAGAAAGAGTCCGCTTCGAAGCTTTTCAATGGATCTCTCCATCCGCGTGTTCAACGTATCTACCGAAAATTCCACAATAGTCCAGATTTTTCTGGAGTGTCCTGAAAGTTCCTTTTAAAGGCACAGTTCACGATAAAAATGGTTTCTGGGATTTCACCATATTATAAATTTGAGGCACCCTATTATACGATATCTGGCTTTATCATGTCGGAAAACGGCCTAGTTAGGGTGTTATAAAGGCTCAAAGATTGGCTCGTGTGTACCTGGGACGAGTTTCATCGCATTGTAGCGGCTGCACAGATCAGAAAGGATTTCGTGTAGGAAGTTCAAACAACTTGTCATGACCCTTAGCGACAGTGAAAGGCAGTTCTGTACAGTTCTGGCTAGCTGTAAACAGCTCCTTGCGCAATGGCAACAACTGAGATCTCGTCCGAATGCTCCTTCCATGTTATTTCCATCATGGTAATCTCGTCCAAACTCTATTTTCCCTACTTTTGAGGAGCCCTATTTTTCTCAAAATCGGCGGATTTCCTCGCTTCCTTCACTACCAATGAACTATTCTAAACCCATACTTCTGCTTTTCGACTAAAATGGGGTACCTCAAAATTATCGTGAACTGTGCCTTCAAGCACTATAAACGGACAGTACCCCTTTCAATGCGCCCATCTAGCAGTAGATTTCGCATTTCGTCCAGATTAGCGTAAAAATAGCGAAGAAAACGCAAAAAACGGTGCATTCAGAGAAACATGAGGATTGAGAAGTAGTAATAGTAGGGATGGGACGATAAGGCGACGTCAAAGAGGCATGAAAGGAGTATTTGAACCAGCTGTTCAAACGTGTGGGGCATTGTGTACAGCTGAATCTGCTAAACTATTGAATTGGATGTTTTGAAGAAGATTTTCTGCGAGATGGTCTGTCATTGTCTGTCTGGTCTTCTGCCCATTGAAGCAAATGTGCTGCGCAGAATATCAAATACGATTTACTCGGCAATTAATCTTGGGGACACTATAACACTTGCGCATAAGTGCTGCGTTTTATTCCACTGTATAATGTGTAATTGTATGCTATTATTTGTCTCTATATAAAGCCCCCTTAAAAACAGTTGGGTAACCCTTCCTTCCACAAAAGAGCACTCTCCAAGCGCTTTCAAACCAATGGTTCATTCTCATCTTCAAACATTTGTCATTCTGTGTGTTCTTTCTTTTTTATCTTTAGTAATTCACTGAGTTTCAGTGTCGCTATGCTATCTAAAGCTGTCATCGTCTTATTCGCTATCGCCATGGTAAGTGGCATTTTGGTATGTGAGGAAAACCAGAGGAAAACGGAATGGTCTTTCCGCATTATGCACTGGAAGAACTCAGAAAAGTAGTTCTTCATTGAGTGTATTCATACAATTACACGAGGGTCGTTTTCATATTCACCCAATTACCCTCTATGGGGCGAGTGTGTTCTACGATCTCGATGCTTCGCGCTCTAGTGTGAAAGCATCGTATGAGCAATATGACTGAAACTACATCTACAATAATCTGTTTTCAGCTCTTCTCCATGGCAGCAGTAGATGCTATAAAATGGCCATTTCGAGGGAAGTGATTGCTTAAATGTCGGCAGAACAAAATTTTGAAGAAACGTCTTTATCTGTTTACTCACAATGAATAAAGGCACATCCGAAACGAAAACGTCATGCAAATTCCATCAGTGTATTACATAATTTGACTATAATCTAAGATTAATCTAGGATGGATCTCATGCCTTCATGGTATAAGGGTTGCATCTCTAGGGAAACTAGTAACTACTCCTGAAGTTAACCATGAGTAAACCTAATACATTCGTTGTGGGTAAGAGCAGTTGTTGTCTCTCTTCAAGTAAGCTCCCTACCCTTACCGCAACCATTACTTCATTCGTGCTCCTTAACGGGTGCCACCTTAACACATTGCTGAGGGCTGTGAACATTCGAGCTCGTAGTACATAGGAGGGAATGGTCACCGCTGTTCAGTGTAAGTAGACTCATTGCGTTCGCTGGGGGGGACCGGCCGTCGCTTTCTCTCGGGATTTCGATCTCTCTCCCATACTGGCAAAGCTGGAGGACGGGAAATTATTAGCCCCACACTGTGAAAATCCCTAGGGTATGATCAATCTTGGTGCCATGGCAGCTGATCACTCACTCCATTACCTCTTCTTCGTAGAACTACTTTTTGATCACGTCCTTCCATCTTTCTTCGAAAAACTCGAAGGAACCAAAAAGGTTGAAGTCCAAACCAGAAAAAGCTGAGAAATTAAACAGAAGCAGTTAAAATGAATTTTCTGAGAACTGATGAGGCAATTTCGGAAAATGAAGAGAACCCTATACGGGAACGTTGAATCCGACGAGTATTGCCAAGTCCATCGTATCGGAATACCTCGGAGGCATGGAAATCTTAAATGGGTCAGATGAGATCAGATCATCAATCATCCCATTAGGTGGAGCTGCTAATTTCGTCATCCATTTCTCGTCTCGAAATGCTGTGGAGTTCGGAACTCCCTTCTTGCTGCTCTCACTTTGCGTACATATGTGTTGTATTGCTAGGCACATGGCAGATTCATTCATATCCAAATCAATCTTCTCCGACGCTCAGATCTACGAGGATCTCAGTTCATAAAGACTAAAAATTTTAGACTATTTTTGTGGACTACCTAAAAGGCTTCCTCAGGTTTGACCGCCTTCTGAAATGCATGTTTTCAAAAAAACATTGAGATTTGGACATTATTTTTTGCTTCAGATATACAACGATATATCCCAGGTGTGTACATGTCCTGCGGAGTAAAATCGGACGCTATTTTTCTCCGTGCTTGGTGCATAGCTCAAAATGTGCCACATAAGCGCGTAGATTGGAACGCTTACTGCTCCGTCAACAACTTACGGAGGAAAGGAGAATAGCACTGCACAAACGCAGTAGAAGACTTTTCAATTACTGTAAAAAGAGAGTCGAATTATTGGGTCACATTCCCAACTCAACATCATCAGGAGGTGCTCGAATTGGAGATGGCTTTGCAAAAGCTAATCTTCTCGCCGATTACTTTCGGTCAATGTACAAAAGGTCAAAGGTCAATGTGCATCAAAAGCCAGTCTGCCTTCCTTGTCATCGGATTTGTTGGACTGGATAGACAATGCTCCAGCAATGTTATTTATAGCATGCTGTGCAAACTCCCTAGCGGCGTATCTACCTTGGTCTTCGTCTTCTGCCCACTACTTTACAGGAAATTGAAAGCGTGCGGTATAAAACATTGCCTCCTCCAGTTTTTGCAGTCTTTTCTTAGTGAAAGGCTTCAATCTGTTCTCATAAACAGGCTCGTTTTTACTGTTAGCCCACACCTAGTGGTGTCCTCCAAGGCTTGTATTGCGCCTCTCATGTTTCTTATAGATGTTAACGACTTAGTAGATTCCATTCCTTCGGGAGCGTTTTGCAAATATAATAGTATGCTTATGACTCCCAAATATTTACAATTAATGATTGTCAGAAACTCTAGACAGCCATCGACTGCGTCGAGCACTGATCTAAGGAATGGAGTCCTCAAGTCTCTATACAAATAAGTGCAATAATGGGATTAGGTAGGAACCATGCAAATTTTACCTTCACCATGTGTGGCGGAAGTCTTGCTCGCGCTACACAGATTCGCGATCTAGGAAATGTTTGTAGTGCTAAGCTCGATTTCGAAAGCTTCGTACATGACGTTGCTGCCAGAGCGAGTTCCAAAGCGAATTTCCTATTAAGAGCCTTCAAAATGCGTGACCCAATGCTGCTCTTCCGACTATTCAACTTCTACGTTAGGCCAATCATGGACTTTTGTCCCCCTCCCCATCTGTTCGCCTCAAAAGCGATCACTAATGGATGGACTTGAAAGAGTCCAAAATGTTTCACCGACCGCTGCTCCGTTCGTAAAGGAATCACTTCCTTCTCGTATGATGAGCTTCTTTCTGATTCTGAACTTTCTTCCCTTTATTTCTTTCTTTCTCGTGAATGAACTGTTATTCTAATCTATTCTAACCAATCTGTCATGGACTGTGTAATTGTAACGAATGACTGCATTTTTATTCCACTTTAGCAGCCCTCATTTTTGGCCAATTACGTCAGTTTTGATTGCCACTATAGCTCTTCTTCCGAGCCCTGGGGCCCTGGGAGAGGTTGGCGGACCTACTAAGCTGGTAGCCGGACTGCCACTCCTAGCCGCTTACAGTGTTTGGCCGGGGCACTGCCCTCCCTCTCCCGAGCGATCCATCGACTCCCTCCCCCTCGCCCTCCCCTCCCCGCTCCGCCGTTTCCACCGTTTACGCTTTCTTTGTAGCTATTGTATTTTGTAACACTGTATTACCTATTTATTTACTGTGATAAGTACTGTATATGCTACACTATTGTTAACTTGACGCCACCTTAGCACTTCCTTTTTTGCCTGTATATCCGCTGTGCAATAGATAAATAAATATATATGGCAGGGCAGAACACGCACTATTTAAAAGCTATAGTCGTCGCTCGAGAGCTATAGTCGCCAAATTCAGGTCATCGAAAAGAGCAAACCAAACTCTGAAACAGTATTGAACGAGGAAGATTCTTGAGGTCACAGTAAACGGGATGCAACTGAACTAGGTTGTTCTTGAAAGTTCCATTCTCCGAAATTGCTGGCAGTCGTGACGTTATATGTACATAGGAGCGGAAACAGTTACGAACTCCTTTTTTCTTTTGATCCCACCGCTAAATTCATGACCTAACCACACGGTAACCTGTAGTGGGTAACTGTAATGATTCCTATGATTTTGTTCTAAAACTTCTTTGCGGTCGATTTCGAAAGCATTGTTATACTCCCACCATACAAAAAAATACAGCGAAAAATGCTATCATTCGCTACACTATAAGCTGATTTTAATTTTCGAACTTGTCTTTACGTTCATCGAATAAAACTGAGATCGACCCAGCATTGTTGTATATACAAGCGAGCCTGTTTTCTATAGCAATCGTTGGAATGAACTTCCTCCGCCATCAGTTTGGCTTCATCATGCAACTGTCATCAATTTCAACTGTCTTCTCGAGCTCTAGTGATAAAGGAGCTTTTTCTCCAACAGCTTAACCAACTAACCAACTTCAAAAAAGTGAGTCAAGAACTGCATTCAATACACCGAGGAACATTCAAAAGCACAGTTCACGTAAAAAAATTATTGAGATTTCTTAAGAGGATGACCTGTGACCCCATGGACAGCTCAAGAGGCGCTGTCGGGTCGAAAAATAGTCAAGAGAAGACGTAATAGGGGCCCCTGAAACCGGCTTGGTCAATCACACCTAAGGCGGGCGAGTTATCAAGCATTGTAAATGCTGTGGAGATTGCACCATTAGCATCGGGACCCACACCTTTCACGTAGGCAGATTAATGTAGTCAGTTGTACTCAATGGCACACACATTTCGACAGCTAGTCCGAATACCCCTCCCATGCAGCTTTTTTCATAACATTGTCGCCCAACTCCTTTGTCTTGGAGGACTTCTTGTGGTGAAGTGTGGTCCAGATATAGCAGTAAAATACTTTTGAATGCCACGCGATTGCTTTATGTGTTTTCTTGTGCTTCTGTCGTACTCCTGTGTACTTCCCACTTTATTGTTGACGACGTACTGCAGCGGAATCGAAACAGTGGAGTTGGACGAGAAGAAGAAGAAGAAGAAGAATGAAAAATCACCCTTCTGTGTTTCTTATATACTATAGTTGATTAGATTCACATAAAATCTTACTATCATAACCTCATTTCTACATGACTTTCTACACGTAACGGTAATGTTTCGTACACTTCTTGTGCGAAAAGTTCTTATAGCAAAACTGGAAAATTGATTGGTTCTGACCTTCTACTCATAAGTCAGTAGGGTTTAATATGATGAACCACCCGCTGGCAAATTTGGGAGTTTCAGAAGAATGCCGTATCAGTGGAACTTTCACTCGTAACGGTGATTATTCCCTCCTACTACGTGTTGGAATGTTCACAGCACTCAGTAATGGTCAAGGTCTACCCTTTCAGGGGCACCAATGTAGTAATGACTGTGGTAATGATAGGTTGTTACATGTTACAAAAGCGACCATGGCGTCCCCTCAGTGTTAATACTCTACACCTGCAGAGCTGGCCTACTTGCTTGGACTTTTAGTGATACACATCGCCTTCAGAGGTCTCCCAGTTCTTTCATGAGTGTGGCGGAAGTACTTCGTGAAAAGGAGTAAATCATCTGATTTTTTCTTCTAGAATAAAAAATTAATAATAGAGATAAAGTCTGATGGCGCAGAACGATTCCGCCTGGGGAATGGACCTAGCATT